TCGTTACATTTGACACGTCTAAGTTACATTTGACACGCCAAAGTTACACTAATCTAAGATTCTATTTTCGATGCCGATTTCGTATCACTAGGACTACTGTGCCACTTTGCTGATCGATTAGCCGCAGAAATTCGATGTGCCGCAGGCGGAAATGTTCGTACTACCAGGCGGAAATCACGGAGGAATATTGCCGATTAAACCTTGGCCTGACATAATGAACCTCGATTAACTTATAAAGATTCTGTTTTATATTTTACTCGAACCTGGAGAATTAGAATTTGGCAAGAGACACATAACTGATATGAATTGGTCTCCCAAAGTTTATCGTATTAAGGAATCACTAATACAAAAAAATCAACTGGTATTATACTGGCTTATGGATGAAAATGGCAATGGTCCCGAAAGATCATTTGTAAGAGAACAATTGTTGAAAGTTGGGAATATTGAATATCCACCTAAACAGATTTTAGAGATATAATTCTATTGTCTCGTAATATTAAATATTAAATATTTTTTTCAAATAATATAAATAAAATGCATACTCTATAGCATTATTTTTATCTAAAGAAATTAATTCTTCATCACTTTGAAAAAATTTTATAAGCTTTGTTTTTACGTCATTTTCAATTTTATACCAATCTGAGTTAATATTATCTTGAGAATTCATTTTGTACAATATCTATTTCATAAAATTTTTATAATTTTTTAATTACTCGTCTATAAGTACATCTTCAACAGCTTCCTCAATTTCTGCTTCAGTCATAGGCCTATCTTTTTTGGATAGCTTATAATAAAGATCATACAAATCTTCTACACTGGTAAGTAGCTCCTTTTTACCTTGATACCATTTTCTATATCTTGACATTCTTTTATTATATGCTTCTTTCATTTGGAAATAGTGTTATTGCTGTATATTTTATATACTCATCTTGGTTTTCTGCATTATGCAAATTTTTTACATAGCCAGCATATTCACTAATAAGCTTACTATCTTTTCTATATCAAAGACGAAAGGCTTCTTTTATTATTTTAATTTGTGCTGATTCAATCATTTTCCATGTAATAGCTTCCTGCATTGAGCCCTGCTCATTTATTAAACTTGAACTATTGTCTGTCATACTTGGTTTATACTTACTCTGTATTTTGTTTTTTTATATAATATAAGTTTTATTTAATACGAGTTTTATTATTTAATAAAAAATTATCATTTTTTGTTATCTTCTAAATGAGTTTTATAGCTTACTCATCTGTTACCTTAAACTAGTCTTCATCAAATGTATTTTCTATAATTTGAGATGCAATATCATCCTCACTTCGTGAGTCAACTTCTATTTCATTTGCTGGAAAGCAGTCTACTAGTATAGGTTGCTCTTTTTTAGATGATTTATTAATCTCAATTTTCGTATATTTGCTCACTGTCAAGACTTACGATTAGCATGACGTATTCCTCCGTGATTTCCGATCAGTTACACGAACATTTCCAAACCGCAGCATTCTCGTTTCACGACCGATAGAAAATGTACGACCACGAAATGAAACAGATTTCGATATATCGGGTCGGCAGATGAAAATGAGACAGATTTCGCCCAATGCGGACGAAATTGTTTTATTTAATTTAATCCTCATGTATTTATTAGCTTTAGAATATGAGATAGCGCAGCAAGCGCAGAACTCGAATTAGATATATAAGCAGTCGTAAATTCCTTAGCAAACGGTGTCTTCGGTTGAATAGATTCGATCTTGAATCTGATACTTATATTCCTTAATATTATTAAT